CCTCACAACACTTCCCTTTTTAAACGTAGTCATCTCATCAGTGTTGACGTAAGTACTCAAAAAATGTACCTAAGTTTAAGTACCAAGTACTCAGTAAAAAATTTACTTAAGTATATGTATTAAGTACTATAGACAATTGAGTATTTTGTACTTAAGTACTAAGTACATGTCAAAATTAAATCAAAATGTTATTTATTTATTTGAGATACACTTCAGACACTTTATTTTCAAAAGATTTATTTGAATATAATTTAATGCTGATTCTATTTCTCTTTGTACCCATTTAAAATGTATGGCGAGCATTGTGGAATATATATATAATTTACATTATGTTTTATTATTTTAACTTTATAATTACAATGTATGTTTTAAAATGAAAATAAAAGGATGTGCCGACGATGGCACAGTTGTGTTGTATTTTAGAAACAATTTTGCAACAGTAGGATACCTGAATAACGCTAATTAAAGTTTTTAACTATTGTTATGTGAAATATAATAAAGACATAAGTTTTATTCAATAATTCAAAATTGAAATGTAATATATATATTTTATAACTAAACTGCTTTTATTTTATAATACATAACATTGAGATTAGTTGATAAGTTAACCGCACTTATTTCTTTAGTTGCTCCATATCATGTGAAGAGTCATTGAGATATTGCAGCCCTTCTACTCTATGGTTTAAACATGATTCAGGGTTGGGTTCATGGAAACCATAAAAATCAAAATCTCGACTTGTGCATGATGTGGACTTTTGGAGTTGTGAGGCTATTGATTCACTTCCGCCAGAAATAACTCTTCGGCCTGCTGGTGAACTGAAGGTGGCATCCACCTGATCTTAAAAAATGGATGGCTAATTGATGCAACAACAAAAGCCTTCATCTTGTTGTTATTGGATATATTGTCAAACCTGATCTTAAAAAATGGATGGCTAATTGATGCAACAACAAAAGCCTTCATTTTGTTGTTATTGGATATATTGTCAAACCCCAATATATCACCAAAACGCTTCATCATTCCTTGTTGAAGAGCCAAAACTAAAGCTGCAGCATGCGATGTTGTGAACAATTCAAGTTTCTTCTGGATAACAAAAATAGTGGTAAGATAGCACCAAAGTATGACTCCACAGAAGCTTCTCCTGGAGCTTGTCAAGAGTTTGTGAAATCGGTCTCATTAGTTCCAACCATTCGCTAAGAAAATTCAATTCTACACTGCTAAACTTCGGCAGCTGCAGACGCTCCATCACAATATTCACTTTATCTTGTAAGCTATGTATAATATTATAGCCGAAAAACTCAGAGTTCCAACGTGTTCCATTCGGTTTGGGAATTTTTCTACTCAAGATCTCATGCACAACTTCAGCAGCTTTTGAACTCTGGTGGGATGCACTGCTGAGACTGACACACCTACTGGACTGGAGACAGATGTATACATTCTTTTATAATTGCCATTATTAATCAAGGCTTTGCTTGCATCAGTTGTAGCCAGCAAATTTAGAGTGTGTGAGAAGCAGGAAAGATGAGAAGAAAGATGAATTCCTGAATTGTCATCTGTATTAAATTCCACAAATTTCTCACTTATATTAACATGAATAGCTTCTTCGTCTGCCTGAGAATCATCAAAAATGCCTGGTTCAGCAATTTTCTTGAAAGCTTTTAAGAAATTACTGCTATTGTCTGTTGCAACATTTACTATCTTGGATGAATCAAGATCAAATTCGCTGTGAATAGCCACCAACGTGGTTGCAATTTTGTCATATGAATGTGTTCCACAGAAACGACGAAAGGCGAGGACAACGCTACTACGCTTAAAATCACGAGGATCAATCAAGTGGCAAGTCACACCAGTGTAACTGCGAGCCTGTTGTGTCCAAATGTCAGCAGTTGTACAAACATATTTTCATTCTTTTAATTTTTCTTTAATAACCTGTTTCATGCTGTTGAACCGCATGTCCAGCATACCTTTTAAGGTTTTAGTGTTTCTGTACACATCACATGGCCTTTAGGATTCACACCTTGCATCAATTGTCTAAAGCTTTCTCCTACAACAGCAAGTGGCTGCATGTTGAAAATAACAAAATTAGCAATTAAGTCATTTAACTTTCCATATGATACAAATGAAAAATCAAATTTTGACCGTTTTGTAGGTGTGCCATCTTCATTTGCACCTCGCTTCACAGTCTTCAATTTATTTTATTTTCATGCATCATTTTGAGATATTTTTCTCCATGAATCTTCTGTACATAAAAATAAAAAAAAACAAAAGGTATTATAGATTTCACTCAAAAATGACATTAATAAAATTTGAGCGATTAGTCGATATCATTAAAATTTAAAATAAGAATTAGATTAACTTTAACAACATACCTTCACGTGTTTGTTAAAATTAGATGGCTCTTTATGCTGTCCACGAATAAGTTGTCTCTTTGGCTTGTACAAGCTACAAGCTGCAACAATAACGTCACCATCATCATTAACAACTTCGAAAAAAAATTCTCAACTATTAAAGGCAAAATCCTCGAGTTTTCTTCATCACGCGCTATCTTTATCAGAATTCAGAATGTAAACGAAAAACGGAAACTAATGAGAATAGATAAAAAAATAATAGCTAGGTAATTAAAAATTAAATTGGTTCCGAGCGATGTCTAAGATTCTGATCAAACTCAACAATTAATTTAGTCAGTACTTATAAGAAAAATGTATTATTTATACGTATAAGTACTGAAAAAAGTACTTAAGTACATGTACGTTAGTACAATTTTTTTCACATACGTAAGTAAAAGTACCATTTTAATACTTAAGTACGTACTAAGTACCAATGTATTTAACTACTCGTCAACAATGCCTCTCATATATAAATTTTCTTGTCCTCTTGACGACTGTGCACGTCTTCAAACTTCCTATATAGGGATGACTGCTACAACACTATCGCGTAGACTCACTATGCACAAAAGAGACAGTGCAATAAAAAACCATCTAGAAACTTTCCACAACACCCCAATAACTAGGAACCTTCTATATAACACAAAAATTTTATACAACAATCAACAGCACTACAACCTAAGAATCGCAGAAGCCATTTTCATCGAATCTGAAAAACCTTCCATCAACATTCAACAACGAATCACAACAACACTTCCAACTCGAAGAATGAACGACAATAACGTTAATCGGATCAACCAGCAAGCAATCTAACAATGATGATAATAACGATAATGATAATAACAACAACACCATCAACAACAACAATAATAATAATAATAATAATGAGAACATCCTTTTATTTTCATTTTAAAACATACATTGTAATTATAAAGTTAAAATAATAAAACATAATGTAAATTATATAGATATTCCACAATGCTCGCCATACATTTTAAATGGGTACAAAGAGAAATAGAATCAGCATTAAATTATATTCAAATCGTGTTCCTATCACAGTAAATTGCGTAAGAAAACGATACTACGGAATTAATTAAACTTCTATAAAAAGGGTCTGACCAAAGAAAATTAATTAATGATAGTTTTAAATATTTAAAAAAAAACCTAGCGGGGAATTTTCAAATGAATTTATTATAATATTTGAGCTTTTCAATTCGTCTATCACATTGTTATTAACATTTTGAAAGTATTTTGATGTTTTATATTAATTAGATTTAGAAAAGTTAGATTCGTGGCAAACTGTTAATTCCAGTATTTCGATAGTATCACTTCGTCGAATGGCAATATCTTGACGAAGTGATTTGAAGAGAGATGATAATGGAAGGTATTTGCTGCAGTTGGAATCTGCTTAGATCAATACATCCGCACCTGCAAATGATTGATTTTGTTTTATAAAATCATCGATAGTATATTGTTGTGACGTGTTGTTTATCTTTTCAGGGACGAAATCGAACTGCAGTTTGACAACACATGCTTATTTGTTTGACGAGCCTGACATAGAGGACACAGAGCATTTGGCATCTTGCCACAGCGATAGAGGTTGGCGTTTGTTGGAAGTTGTTGAATGAGAGCCTTCCTGACAAATTTGAATAAAACCTCTGGTAGGCCTTCTGTGAACTTCGACCATTGACTTATGTGGATTTCTGGAATATGATCTTTAATCGCTTTAACTAACATCCCTTGACGTTGAAGTGATGATAGATAAACATAATCGGATTTTTGTTGACCAGTCAATAGTGCTTTAAGCGTTGGTTTTATGTCAGCTGATTCAGGAAGGATGTTGTCTATTTTGATGTAACTGTTGAAAGATTTTTTATGTAAACATTTTATTTCTTCATTGGCATGCGTTTTGAGGTAACTTCGAAGTTTGACTCTTAACGCTTCTGTGTAACTCTTTAATGATCTGATATTCAATCCTCCTGATTTAAAAGGGAGTGATAGATACTCCGATACGCAGCTGCAAATTGGCAGGGCCAACCAGTTTCTAACCGATTCAGCAATCAATAAATCCAGATTGTTGCCTATCCAAGTCAACGGAATGTCGTAAATGCGAAGTTCGAATGCCAACTGAGATGGGATGTATTGCCTTAATATTTGCAATTTTCATTGTGGCGTTGGGTCCAAACCGTTTATAACCGACAACATGTGTTGGAGTTTATTGATAAGTAACTTATTGATAAGTTGAATGAGAGCCTTGAGTCGCGTCCTTCTAAATCGTAAACTTTTCCCAGTTATTCGAAACGACCATTAAGTTCAACGTCAGGTATTGCTTTATCATCGATAGTCAACCTTGGGAAAAACTGTTCGCATTCTATTGTTGCTGAACGATGAAAATGTTTTGTATAGTGTTGGTTGCAGTGTTATTGGGCGAAAGTTCGATGGGTTGTTGGTATCACCTTTTTTGTGAATTTGTATTGTAAAACCTTTTTTCCAGCATGAAGGAATTGAAGAAGATGACCAACGTTGGATTGACGATGGAGAATAGTTCTGAGAATTGGGCGTTTTTTGAATGGTATTATTGAGATCTGGTCCAGTGGACATGGGGATGACCTTGATTTTTATTTTCGAATAATTTTTGAGATTTCGTTGTAGCTGAGAAAATCTTTGTTGCAAGGTGTTGGCGGCGTTGAGAGTTTTAGGATCCAGTTTGGCTGCTGTTGCTTGTTGTTGTGAGTGTCGCTTTGGAGGGAGTGAAAGTAGTTTTTGCAGACGGTGACGCTGTATGATGGGCTCAAACTTGTAGTTGAATTAAAAACTTTTTTGCAAAACCACCAAAATCGACGTTTGAGTTGGCTTGTTGTGTTGTGCTGTTTAGTTGAGTCGGAAGATTTTGATGACGAAAATTTCGATCTCAACGTTTTGCTATCCGACCTTATTTGGTTGTCGAAATGATGGTTATTGCGGCCCAAGAATTTAGGTTGTTTTAATTTTTTTTTCAACAGCTTAATTGATTTTTTTGTACATCCGTCTGGTTTAATTTTATTGTTGATGGTGCCGAAGTTGGAGGCAAAGTAATTGTAGATCATGGTTTGGAAACCGATTGTAAACTCATTCAAATTGGTGAGATTTGGTAGCGTTGATTGGTGAAGTTGAAAATACGCGTTGGCCTCAAGCCATTTAAGCTGGGTTTCGTGGAAGTCTGATTCCAAGGAGAGGCGTTTCAGTGTTTTCAACATTTTGTAGCGTCTGGTGGCTTGCTGTCGTAGGTTGTTGTTGAACATCCGACGATGGCGAAGATGGTGGCGACGTCCAGGTTGATGTTTCGGCGGCGTTTTCCTCATCGTTAGTTAATTGAAGTTGTTTATGTGTTTTGCACGAACGTTGGTGCATTTTTAGTCTTTTGCAACCTTTGCAGGATCTTCCGCAGCAACGTTTAATTAAATTGTTATTATCCATATTGACAAAATAATTATTGACAGTATTTGAGTTGAAAATGTTGGCAGAAATATCCACATTTGAATTTGCCGGCGAGTGAACAGTGTTAACGTTAAAGTTAGCTGTATTTTTCGTGCAACACCAGGAGTGTCTGCCAACATTAATAAACGATTTATTGCAATATTCGCATTTAGTAGCTCTAACTTTAGAAATTTAGTTTAAAATTAAAATAAAATATAAAATGTAATAAAATAGGACTTTCATAAAAACCGCCATATTCCCCGTAATTTTACAAACAAGATGAACCTATTTTAAAACTGATTTAAAGACGCTAAAATCGAAATTATGTATAAAAACAGTGAGCTGAAAGATTTTTGCCAACTCTCGTGCCAACATAATAATTATAATCAATCAATCAATCAATAAATCAATCAATCAATAAATCAATCAATCAATCAATCAATCATCGTTTAGCGTCCGGAGATCCAGTTTTCCCGAGGTAGCACGTTGTTTTCTTTGCCATCAATTTTTTGCGCCAAATTAGGCGATCAGTTGTATCCATTTCATTTAAATTTAGAGCTTTCATGTCTTGCTCGATTGTTTGCGACCATGACTTCTTTGGACGGCCTTTGGGACGTGTGCCAGGTACTTCAACATTTGCAAGAAAAGTTATGGCACTGTTTCCACTTCGTTTGACATGACCAAAGCACCTCAGACGGTGTTGTATGAGGTCGTGTCTCATTCGTCCTTTATATCATCTAAACCAGCACGACGCAGGATTTCGGTAGATATGATGTGGTCCTTCAGACTAATTTGTTGCATCTATCGGAGCATTTTTCATATCGGTTTGGTGAAGTTGTTGTTTCAGTTTGATTGTCATTGGCTATGTTTCTGCACCATATAACAACACCGGACGTATCACAGATTTATAAAGTCTTGATCGTAGTGGTAGTGGGATGTCACGCCGCATCAATATAGAGGCAAGGAGATGCCATTTATTCCAGACTGCACGTATGCGTGCTCGAACGGCAGCTTCAGCTGTTCCAGTACAATCCAGAACATCCCCTAGATATTGAAACGATGTGGCTTTCTCTACCTTAATGCCTTCAAAAACATTGCTATTTCAAATTTGTTGTTGTGGATTGATGCAAGTAGGACGAACAAAATTAGACACTTTGGATAAATTACCAATTATTTATTATTTATAATAATAATAATAATAATAAAGACAATAATAATAAAAACAATAATAAAAAAATAAAAATGATAGCAAATTAAAATAATTTCGCTCCTCACAATTTTGACGCTTTTTTTGCCGCCTGACAACTATCATCTTGAAAATTTAAAAATTTTTCGTTGTTAAAATTTTTCATTAGAATTTCATGTTTCGTTTTCGAATTTATTTTTATATATTCTCAATAATATTACTAATTAATAAATCAATAAATAATGCACTGACGATGACGGTTTAACGTCGAAATAGATCTATCTGCAATAATTTTGATAAAATGTTTGTTAATAAAAAATAAAGCTTCAATTTTAAACAGACTCAATTTTGTTGATAAAAATTTTCTAAGACAAATTGAAAAATTTGAATATAAATTATAAGTTGATAAACACTAATAAATCGGTGGAATTTATTACACACACACACACACACACACACACACACACACACACACACACACACACACGTACATATATACAATTTCACTATACGTTTGTAGGTATGTACATGCGTATTTTTTATAAATTTATAAAATTAATTTATAATTTATGAGTGACTGCTTGGTTGAAATTAATCATCAAAAACGTTTTTACTTTGTATATGATTTTTAGTCCAAAAATTTTATAATAAAATTATCGTTACGTGTCGCAAACATCATCATCTACGATGTCGTTGGTATTAATGGAAAATATGGCACCATATTCCAAAACTAGACGACCTGAAGAAATCAGAAACTAAAATGACGGCCATAAATTAATGATCGAATTGTATAATTGTAAATAAAGAAATTGTATAACCTGTACAATCGTTTTCTTCAGCAACGACGCCTTTCCATCAATAGAGTTCCCGTGATTCCAAGAAGACGCGAAGAAGACGTATTATCGTGATCCGCACGATATTTTTATTTAAACTATCTCAACTATGTTACGTGGGATCGTGAGAATATATAATTTTACGCATGAAAACCGTATGTGGAGATAGTAAGATTTTTTTATACCAATTGTCAATATTTCAATAGAAAACAATTTTTCCTATTGCAAAAATTATTAGAAACAATAAGCTACACATTTGTTCAAAGTTCGTGGAATTGCACGAACAGGGCTTTTTATGCATTGCCACATCATGTAGCTTGTTTGGAACAAGAAAACCAAGATAATTTGGTTGGGTTGGAACAAAAACAAAATAACCATGACTATCTGGTTGGTTTTGAACAAAATATCCAAGATAATTTGGTTGGTTCGGAACAAAATATCAAAGATAATTTGGTTGGTTTAACACAAGATAACCAAGAAAATTTGGTTGGTTTAGCAAAAGATAACCAAGATAATTTGGTTGATTTAGCACAAGATAACCAAAATAATGGAGACAGATTGACGCGTTGGGAAGATTTAGTAATAGGAGCTGCGATGGCAGGATTGGCAATTTATTTTTATACAAATGGCAATATTTCTTTAGCATTGCTAAAATAAAAGATACCTAAGTGATTGATTGAATGAATGAATGAATAAATAAATAAATAAATGAATAATTCAATAGATTGATGAATGAATGAATGAACGAACGCTTTGATTTGAAACTGTTCTGCTAAATTTTGTAATTTAGACAGTTTCGGAGAAGTTTATTTTTAATAAATTAACTTTATTTTTAATTCAAGTTAATTTATCATACTTTACCCTAACAATATTCGTATCTTTCTTTATTTATATTTTTTTAATAATTTATGAGTAGTGTAGTGAACCGTATTGTATCGTTTTAACGGTTTCTTATTTTAAAAATATTTGTATTTTAATTTTGAATTTTCTATGTACAATGCCTTTTTAACATTGACTCATTACTACAATTCATTCATTTTATCTTCTTTTATTCTGTGGTTTCCTCCTACCACCAACAGTAACACTGCTCACTCTCGCCGCTTAAAAGCTGTGTTATGATGACGATGATGAAAAACACACTCTCTTTCTCTTAACACTAAATATTTATCTTTATTCATTTCTTTTATCATTCTTTCTCTTTCTCTCTCTCCTTCTAATCTTATTTTATCATAAAGTAATTAATATTGAATAAAAGATGAATAACCAGAAAGGTTACAACTTCGTTGTTTCATTTCGATAACTTTACAATTTGTTTTCAATTGCGATGTAAGCCGCAAATTACCTGCATAAGAAAAAGCAATTTGATATATCCATGTTAACAAAATAACTAAACGCAATATAACGTATTACCTGTGTGGCGAACGTTATAATAGATGTTACAATCACCATATTATGTGGATGGCGTATTGTTATTCGAATGCTAGATGTTTGAATGCCGATTGTTCAGATGTCGGAACAATGATTTGTAATTTATACAATTAATTTTTTAGATTACTCAGAGAAGATGAATTAGTATAAGTGGCAGAATTCGCAAATATTCTCCTCAACATAGTTAATGAGAGACAATTTTTGCGAAAAAATGTGGCACATCATCCTCTAACATCTCTTCTCGGATGCCGAAACATATTGGACGGGGTAGGTATTTTCTTTCTTAAGTTATAAATAATTTTAGTATAAAACTTTACTCAGAGAAGATGAATTAGAGGCAAAATTTACGCATATTCTCCTCAACATGGTCAATGAGAAACAATTTTTGTTTAAGAATGTGAAAAAAACGAAATGGTAAAATAGAAAATATAAATAATTCTCAAATAAAAACTGCTTTGAGTGATATTGTAAACGAAAATTTCATCACAGTGAGATGTAAAAAACGTGGAAACACCATAGTTCATACTGGTGATAAAAAAGACTCATCTAAAATTATTGTTGGTAATCGTGTTCCTGATGAATCCAAAATAACTGCAAATAAATTCACCTTTTGGAAAAAATATACCATGTGAGCAAAATAAACAAGTGGGTTGCCTCTGACGTTTAGGCCCGGTTCTAAGCATAGGCGACCGCCTACTGAGGCACATTAAGGTTTTTAAAGAGAAGAATTTTCTTTTAAAAAAATTTTTAATTTTCCCTAATTTTTAGTAATGTAAAACTGTCAAGTGTTAAAATGTTCAATTCAACTAGTTTATTTTTTTATTGAGGTTCACTTTTAATTAGTTATTGCTTTTTCAGTTTTCAAATTTATTCCGGGAAGTTGTCTTTTTTGAAGATTTAAAAGACTTCCTACTTAAAGACCACAAACGCAGGCCAGTAGCCAGATTTATTTGAATAGGGGGCATTTCACATTTTATATTATTCTCTGCCAAATATATCAGTAAGAATGATAAAATGTTAATAATTAATTATAAAAAATAAATTTTATAAACTTTTTGTTTTTCAGTTTGTAAAACTCTTCATTATTTAAATTTAATCTTAAAAATCACAATTGTTTCATTCTACTCATTTCCTTCTTACTTCTTTAGTTTTTTCTAAGATTGATAATTTTATTTATCTAAGATCGATTATTTTAATTTGCTCTACTATGGTCTTTCTGATTTTTCTCTCTATCCTTTTAAGTGAAGCTCTATTATATAGTACTCCTGATTCTACAATCTATCCTTTTAAAAGTAAAGCTGCTGCTCTGTTCGTCTAGCTAGTTGCGCCCCTTTTTTTCTCATATATCTTGTTCTCATGCATTGGCTGCCTATAAAATATAGAATAATTTTTAAATTTGCACATAACGTATAAGTCTCAATCTAAATTATTTCCTAAGTACTCATCAGATTGATATATTATTTGAACCTAAACGCTCCGGTTTACGATCGTCTTCTCGTTCTCACTTCTTAACTCGTGTTAAACAATCTTTTGCTAAATTTGCGCTTGCTTTTTCGGGCCATTTTCTCTGGAACTCTCCACCTCCTACTCTGACTGCTTCTCCATCACTTACGAAGTTCCAAGAGGATCTGAAGACCCATCTGTTTGCAAAATTCACTGAGGAGCGCTGTTGAACGTCGCTGAAATAGCGCTTAAGTAAGGCTTAACAAATTAATCAATTGTTTGATTGAATTGTAGTATCTTTTATATCTTTTATTTTTAAGGACAAATAAAATAGAGAAAATAATGTTTGATTGGTTCACCATTTTTTACTAGATCGTTAACAACTTTTATTAACAACTTTAATTTGCCTGCCGATGCCAAAAAAGCCAAATTTCTTACTTCGCATCCATAATCAACCGGCTGGCTTTCGCAGCAAGTTGAATTCACTTCACGCCCGTTAACGATTTCCTTTTATTACGGAAGCAATCTATTTTATATATTTTAGTAAGTAAGACAGAAGAGAAGACGCAAAGCGTTGGCAAATATTAAAAAATAAAATAAAAATAATAAATAAAATAAAAAATAAAATGATAGTAAAAATAAGAATACGTTTTCGAAAAAGAAAACTCAAAAAATTTGAAATTCATGAAAAAATCATTACAAACGCAAAATTTCATAGTAGTTGTAAATGTAAATTTCATAGTAGTAAATGTAGTTTTAAAATTTTAAAATTATTTATGATTTATAACAAAACAACATTAATTTATTTATGACTTTTTGGTTTGGTTTTGAATTATATAATTCCATGAGCAGTAATACAAAATTAAACAAATAAGTAAATAAATAAATAAACGAAAGAAAAATGTATAAACATGAAAAATAAAATTGAATAAAATAAATAATAAACAACAATAATAATAAGAAAATAAATTAAAGAAAATAAAATAAAATAAATTGACAATAAAATGAAGTAATGGCATAAAAACGCAAATTAATAGTCTAGACGATGACTTAGTGAGTTAAATTGTAATAACTGTAATAATTGTAATAAAATTAACATTGTCTGCAAGATTTTGCGATCACAAATTTCAGATTTGTGTCTGGCATTAAAACATTTAAAGGTTGTTAATTTTTTCTATAGGATTATCGCTCTAATGAAGTTTTTCAGCAATGATTGAGAAAGCCAAAATATAAGCAATTGAACTGAAAATATTTGAAAGATTCGATGAAGAGAAATTCACGTGTGTGCGCAAAAAACCGACAATTTTCACAGGGCGGCAATGATGAACCGATAGTATCACCTGAATAAAAGTTCAGAGTATCTTTTTTACAACCAGATATTCTTTCTTTCTTTCTTTTTTTTTCTTTCTTGAACCTTATCCTTTCAGGACATTGGCGACCATCGACCTCCCCCAAACCCTATCTTTAACACTTTGTAGTAGTTGAAATGTGATGATATTCAACAAGTAACACAAGGACTTCACGAATGTTATTTGTTGTTTGATAGCGATCTCTTTTCCTTGCAATTTCTCTACTTTTCCAGTAGTTGTTAGATTTTCCATTTTTTCCTTCCGCATGATCTGATCAAAAAACTTTATCTGTAGTAATTTCCTCTTTTCATAACCGGACTGTTTTAATACATCCTCATTCGAAGTATGCTGAGGTCAAAATAATTTCCATAATTCTTTTCGAAAACCAAATCTCAGCAGCATTAATCTTATTTTTATTTTTTTAGAAATTGTTCAGAACTTAGAGCCGTTAGTTAGTACAGAAAAAATTAAACACCCTAACAGTTTTAATTTGTTGATATTCTGATTTTACTTATGGTGAGGATGTTTTTCATTTTAGAATATGCATCTTTCACCATAGCTTTTCGTTTTTTATATCCATATCACATTTACAACCTGAGGTAATCAGACTTCTGAGATAATTGAAGCTGTTGACTTGTTTCAACTGTTCACCATTAATGATTATGGAGCAGATAGGAGCGGTTTTGCTTTTACTGATAATCATCCACTCTTTTTTGTTGATGTTAATTTGCAAGTTTTTTTTCACTTTCAAAAACCAGATTGGAAACAATTGTTTGCAGTTTTTCCATTGAATCTGCTATAAGAGATGTATCATCAGCATATCTTACATTGTTAATATTCACGCATCCAATGGATATTTCTTATGATGATCTCATTATAGAAATTGTACAGGCCTGGAGAAAATACTTAGCCTTGCCTAAAATTTTTTTATTTCGACAAAACTAGTCATTTCGTTATCAGCTTTCATCGCTGCTCTTTGGTCCCAATAAAGGTTTTTGATAATTTGTGTTTTTTCCATCAATGTCCAAATTTTTTAATATTCTATAAGTTTCAAGTGTTTCACGCTATCAAAAGCTTTGGAGTAATTGGCAAAACATATAAACAAGTCTTTCTTAAATATCAATTCCTCGTCCTCGATTATTCGTGTAGCATAAAGATAGCGTTTCTTGTCCCACAATTTTCGACAATGAATTTAATATGTAGTCTCATCATTAGAATTCTCAAGAAAAGTTCGGTTGCATTAGGTTTTTAGGCAATGCAATAAATACTAACTTGGGGAGATCTTTAAAAATTTTGCCGTTGTTATATATTACGCTCAAAATTTTTGTTTCTTTTTCAATGCCAAAATGCCAAATTCAAGGCATTAACTTCATATGGTTGGCTTTTTTTTTAAATTAGCTGACTTCCCATGTATTTTATTGTTGCTCATTTGTTTGGACACAACGTGTATGCCGATTTCCAAAACAACCACTTAACCTACGTATCTGCTATTTCTTAATTGTTCCTGAGTGATCCAATAATAATTTTTAATTTTTTCTCCAAAATTTCTGTTATGACTTTTTAAAAATTAATGTAAATAACATTTTAAAGCAGTTGACAAATTATGGTAAACTATCGATCTGGTCACAGCGGAGAAAACAGAGCAAGCGAGAACGATCCTCAGCCGAAGATGCCTGTCAAACGATCCGGATATAGACACAGAAAATGGGTAAGACTGATTACCGTTCTTGCATATATTTTGGCCGTTTCTATGGCGGCCATTATTTTAGCCATCTATTACATCTTTGTTTGGGACCCGAATCCAAATATTGACCAGCAAACTGTCATGATGCAACAACAACGAAGACAATCGCAATACACGTCGCCCTCAACTCAAGTATTGAGGAAAGACATGACTCCGTCTGCTGCTTCTTATGTGAATGATTCATTGATAACTTCTACTACCAATCCATCTTAATTATGTTTTCATTGTTAGAATAAATAACAGAATGCATGTGTTGTCATTGATTAATTTGAGGTAAAATTTCAAAATGTGTCGGCAAACCCTGATTTTTATTTCTGTTTTACCTTATTAAATCGGTCATTTTTGTTAGATTAATTGGTTAGGGTCAAATTTAGTCTTTAATAGTCTAAGCTGATAATGTTATCTATATTAAATCAGAAGATATTTTGAAATTTTAACTATAACAACAAATGAACAAACATGATTAAAAAACAAGTCTTAGGTTGTTAAATTGTGGTTCATTACACATTATATTATTGTACAGTAAAAAGTTGCTGGCATATTTTGTAATTTTATCAGGTTTTAACAGCAATTACATCCTCAAATTATAGACTAAATTTTTGACAATTTGTAATTTATCAGTTGGTGGAATGTTGCCAACTTTCGTATTTAAAGTTAATGAATTTTCTACATGTCATTATTTGATATATCATTTAAATTTTTGATTACAGAGTGAATTTTTAGTTTAGAACATTTTATATGCTTTCATTTACGCCATTTTTATTAATTACCGTTTTTATCAATAATCTGATTTAATTATTCTAGTTTAGAGTTTTATTAAATGTGAGTTAATGTATATGCACTATTTAAATTTGTATAATTGGCTTACTTCAGTTACTATGTTAACTTTTGAGCAATAAAAAAATAAGTGTTCATATATTATATGTTTTTCAATTTATTTTTATCGTCAATTCATTGAACTCTGTTATATGCTAATTATTTTGTTTTTATTTAAGTTAACCATACTGAGTTGCATTAGTTTTCTATCATGTGTGTTGATGATCTCATAATTTTGTTTGTTTCAATTGGCCAATTGCACTCATTTTAATTTATTTACTATCTGATATGATGTCTACAAATTTTTGTGTGAGGAATCATTCATCAGATTGTATACAAGTTCTCAATTCAGTACACATTAGTTTTGTGTTTAGTATTCCTCAGGGCTTCCTGTTTTATTTTAATCAAATTTTTTATTTGTTCATAAGTTGTTTGTTAAAATGAATAAATATTTATATGTATGTATGATACATAATTATATTGTACTTAAGTACTTGTGCGTGTATACAGAAAAGAATGTTGGTGCTTAGTAAGCGTTTTGAACCATTGTTAAGCAAACCAGGGTGTACCACTACATATATTATGATAATTTTTTGGTGGTCAAATCTTTGGTTGTAGGGTGGACTCCAATATATTCCATGATTGTAGTTAGCACAGGTCAACATAAAATCATCTTGAATGTGTGGGGATATATGTACGTTTGTCTACTAAATTTTCCTGTGTATATATAAACGTGCAAAAACTTCTACACACACCAACGTATATATATATATATATATATATATATATATATATATATTATAAATGAAACATGCTTCTCTCACAGATTTTTTTACTTTCCGTTTTTAAGAATGTAATTGTTTGAAAAAGCAGCCAACGTTTCGAGAAAAATATTAAAACCACACATGAACAAATTTGACTGATATTGATTGAGTAAAAATTCAGGAAAAATAGGGCTCGTGTGGGCATGGTATTAATTATTTTAGCAGCTTATTATTCACTCTTGTAGTTCTTTATGGGTTGAAACTGGTTAAAATTTTTATGTGGAAACAATTGTCTCAAATCGTTAGATAGGAAATTGTTTGAGAAAGTTTGAGTTTATTTTGCGGTATCTATGGCTGGCAAGTCATAATGAAATGTGAAGGCTTAGTTCGATGAAATCGAGCAGAGCCGAATTGCATTCACGTGCATGCATGGGGGATTTGAAATTTTTGGATTCTAATAAATAATTGTGGTAGTCAATTTCAGCTGGGTTCGTGTTTAACTCGCATCATTATTGATTGCTGAAACACGATTGCTTTAAAATTATTAGATTTTGCATGATTTGACAATTTTCAGTAATTATTTCATTAAATTTTTTACAGCACTTTCACGTCTGCATCGAACTAGTCACTCAAATTGCAATGCTTTAGCTAGATAATTATATGTATATATATTTTTGACAGTTAAGTGTTGAACATTGACATTGATTCATCTTTCGTGTAAACGATTTTCGTTACAATTTGATCATGATATTTCAAATTCAAGCTGCGGTTTTGTGTTGTCATTTTCAAGCCTATACAACATTTTTTAATGTTTCAATTCAACCATAGATATAGATTTAGTTAAATCGACTACGTCAAATTAAGTCAAATCGATTACACGTACACTGAAACAGCTTAAACAATTCAACTTTTCTGATATATAAATTCAATTATAACCTCAACTAATAGAAGTTAAGGTAATAATTGAATCATTTCAAGAAATCGTTGCGTAGATTATTAGAAATGGTTTCTTTGTCTGCGTTTATGATCTTTGTAGCAATTTTACCCCATTCACCTCACTTCAATTTCCCCTTTCACATGCAACTATCTTTGCGGCATAACTGACTGGAACGTGTTAATTTAGATATATTACAATTTCATGAACTAACCCCTACAAGTTAACTCATTTACCTTAATTAAATTTTTACTTTCGAATGCGTTCTTTCATCCTCGTTTTCTTGGTGTCCATACTCTACATTTTTTTGTTGCTTTGCTAATTAGCCTTTTTTCTTGCATCATTATAATTGACTGCAGACTTTCTGGTATCACTTCTTGTACTTTAATTAATTAAGATAATGTTAATTATTTTTTTGTTTTATTCTCAGAGGCATCACTAGCACCTTGAGCCCTGTGCGGTTACGAATATTCAAACCGCGAAGAAAAAAACCGCAACGTCCGCTGCCACTTCCCCACCTACACTAAATTAGTTACATTTTGTTATTATTTATATACATATAAATTATAAGTGTAATCCATATAACTAGAATAAATACAATAATTTCGATGACGCCTATATGAGGCGTTTCTTCTTTAATATATTATATATATACTCAACTCATCTTTGCAAGATTTTCTGTTCGTAAAAAATGACTGAAAGATTTCATCCTGTCGTAAAAAAATGTTATTATATTTCTTTTGAATTTCTTAAAATACAAAAGTCAAATTTATTTGAAATTTAATTTAGTCAAGCAAGATATTTTACTTCCTTTATTTCCACACTGAGTTTTTGTTTTTTACTGGGGGCTGCTGCTGATCTTTTTTCTTCGGTTCCTTAATTAATCTGTTATCCGGAATTTTGCACATGTTCTTTAACTCCCTGACCTTTCGTATATACTTTTCTGTTTTCAAAACTTTCTTATAACTGATTACCACGCCTGAAATAAAGAGAGGGCAAATTTACTCGGTCCATGTTGTGCGGCATGAAACTGGTATGTTAATGCGAAAAATAAAAATAAAAAATAATAATTGTTTTCATACAAATCCAAATAAAGTTTATTAGTTAATTTATATTAAAATAATAATTGGTCAATAATATAAACCCACAATACAACAGCTGTTATTGCTACAGTTGGAGAAAAATTTATTGTGTCCAATGTGCCATAATAAACACGATACTACACAATATCATTGCAACCACCATTACTACTTGTCCTTCAGCCAAACTACCACCATAAACATTTTACAAAAAAAAACATCAAATTAAGATATACAGGTAGATTAAGAAATTAAAATTGTGTGGTAGACCATAAAATATTATTATTAACGAAACAATGGATATCTACGTGGCTTAATTATTGCCAAGTTATCAACCACTTCCCAATGATATTTGTAGGATCTTCAGTGAGACATGAAAGTTCGTCACCACAGGAACTCTTTAAATAATTTTTCATTCAACCAAGAGTTGAGAACATCCGTTCAGTGAAAACTATGGTCACAGGAATTGTTAAAACAATGTTAATTAATTTTAATCATTTGGGGATGTTGACTAGACGTCATGAAATGCGTTGATGTTTTAATGTATATTTGGTTGACAGTGTTAGACTGTTTCGATTTGGGGCTCAAAAAGTGTGGGTGTCAATTCCTGTTGCCTGGGGGTTTCTCAGTGAGAGAAAAATAAGTTTTTCATTGAGAAAAGTTTTTTTTACAACGTGGGTTAAAAGCTAAAGTAGCTCTAAGTGCATCCATATTTTTAATAAAATGCTTGTCACATGTGTTGCGGTTGCGTTTGATGATGAGAACACCGAACCGGAAGAGCAGTGAGCGGGAAAAGAAAAGAATAGTATTCGTTTGGATAGGCTGGACACGTGTTTCGTCCCTACCGGGGACTCATCATCAGCCCGAATACCTATCTATTAGTTATCGCAGTTTCTTATAAAGCCCGCACAAATCAACTCCTTATTTCGTGGGGTTTTTATTTATTAGTCTTTTTAATCGCTAGGATTTTCAATCCGACACATTTTACAAAAAACCTGTCAGCTTTCTATAGTTGGATGCATACTGATGAGAACACAGAATTGAATACAACTTTGACTTACCAGATGCAATAAGTGAATTTTTTTATTCAGCTGCTAGGCCTATTTTGTTGCATAATTTGTAATAATAATTATATTAATAATTAATAATAATCCTATTTGTCCGCCTACTCAAAAATTTTTTCCATGATTCATCAAAACGAAGTTCGTCAGATCAGTTTTGCACGCTGTATTTTAGTCCACTTGCTGCCAAATAATCAATGCTGCTATCTTTGAGTTTTTTCTCTCGAACGAACAGTAAGTTGACGGAGCTGTATCCATGCTGATCAAAATAGAGCAAAACTTCCAGCGTCGAATGTTTATATACTTACAAGTAAACCTTTTGCTTCTGAAGCTGCTGCATTATCATTCTGATTTTCACTCACTTGATGAGTTTGTAATTAATCTTGTAAGCGGTATTTGTCTAAAAAGCGTTTTCTAATCTCCTAACTTCTAACACAGGCACTAACCAACCCACAACTTAAAATTATTCATTATTTCATAAAAATATTTAATTTGCTATACTTTTTATTTTTCCAAAAAGTTTTTAACTGAATGTTTGCTAGCTTTTTTCAAGTATGTATTTTTTAATATTTTCAAACAACTGGACCTCAATCAAAGACTTTAGAAGTCACAAGTTTCTTGCGTGATGGCTTAATTGCTAAGATTATCTTACCTGATTCTAAAACTCTTGATGTCTCTCATAAGTTTCGTAGTCTAGGTTTTATCTTTGATTCTACAATGTCTCTCTCTTCTCAGATTAATAGTGTTGCTAGAAGCTCTTACTTTCATCTACGTAGAATAAATAAACTTTTGCCTTTTCTTTACTCTTCTCCTTCTTGTTACTTCGTTAGTCTTATCTAGGATTTATTATTGTAACTCGCTCTACTATGGTCTTCCTGACTCTATACTCTATCCTTTAAGTAAAGCTTTTAACTCTGCTGCTCGTCTAGTTGCTCGTGCCCCTTTCTTTTCTCATATATCTCCATATCTTGTTCTCTTGCACTGGCTACCTATAAAATATAGAATAATTTTTAAAATTTGCACGTTCATGTATAAGTCTCAATCTAAATTATTTCCTAAGTATTTATCAGATATATTAATTGAACCTAAACGCCCCGGTTTACGATCGTCTTCTTCTTCTTGCTTTTTCTTAACTCCTGTTAAACACTTTTTGCCAAATATGCTTTTGCTTTTTCTGGTCCTTTTCTCTGGAACTCTCTACCTACTTCTCTGATTACTTCTCCATCACTTGCGAAGTTCAGAGCGGATCACAAGACCCATCTGTTTTCAAAATTCATTGAGAAGCGCTGTTGAACATCGCGGAAATAGCGCTATATAAGCTAATTGATTGATTGAATTGATTGATTGAAGATCTCCACAACTTGGTCTTCCATAATCTCTACATTAAACTAAATACTGGATACACTGGACTTACGTACATCTCACTTGAGAACAACACAGCAGTCTTGTAACTAACTAACATTTGAAAGGACATTCTGATTGTTCATTGATGTTCACTTCTCACAAATTACCAAAAGACGATGTCTGAAAATAATTGGAAGCGATGTTTGGAGTGGATCATGCGATGTGACATTTTGGAGAGTGACCACAAACTCAGCAAATCTAACGTTGAGTTGGTAGACTTCGCCCAAGCCCTCCGTGATGGGGTGATAATCTGTCAGCTGCTGAATACTTTGGTGCCTGGCGTCCTCGAACAACGCGAGTTCAGTCAGAGACCTCAGATGTCGCAGGTTCCTTCTTGTTCTCTTCTGTTATTCATTCTTAGACTTAACTATTAACTTTTATGAGAGAATTATTAATTCATCTAGTCTTGATTTTCGGCCCTTGATGATGGTGTGATGTTATATTAGGGGTTGGTAAGTTAACATTAAGGTCGCCTGCTTCTGTGACGCAGTGACCAGGTTCAAATACAACAAAAAGATTCCTGCCTGTTCTAAGCTTTGTGTGTGATGCATAGTTTTTGCACGTATAATATTTATAATATAATATCTTCTGTCTATGCGTTTTTGATTCCTCCGTCTGACTGAACTGAACCAAGCAGTAATTTTAATTGTAATAGACCTAAGTAAAGTTTTAACCTTTTTTAATTTATTTTTTAATTTTAAAACTACTTAAAATTGTTTAGTTATTTATATAAATTAATAGATAACTAATCAATAACTTCAGCACTAATGATTAATTAAATTAATTGTTGTGATAAATATTAGTAAAGTTGTTTTAGTTTATTTAGTAGAGTGTGTCATTTAGTTCCATCATTTATTTAATCAACTTCATTGGTAAATTAATTTAGTTAATTTTGGTTAAGTTTAAAAATTAAAAATTAAAAAAAATGATGTACTTAAAAGTTCAATTTTTTTCAAATAATAATTATTATTATAATATTATAAAATTAATAATAATGATGATGATGATGATTGTTATAATTGTTATTACTTTTGCTATTATTATTATCCACTCCACTACTGAGTGGCATTCTTCAGAAGGCATCAGCTAATAATTAATTACATCACAACTTGAAAATATATCTACCTCCTTCCTGTCCTTAAAATCTCAACCATGTTTTTTTTAGATCCTTTGTAATGGTTCTTTCCCCGGCTCAACACTAAAAATTTCAAATCTTTTTTATATTTGGTAACAAGTTTTTATTAGTTGAAAATGCAAAAACAAATAAAATTTGTTTGAGCAACGATGTTCTTAGTTCACTTTAGTCGAGCGGATAGCTTATGAGCCATCCGCCGTAGGAGTTTGTTGTTGTATGAACCGTCACTTCACTAATTGCTGAACGACATGAGTTAGCTTGTTGTATGTCGAATGCCCAACGTGCCACCAACGTTTAGTTACCACCTTTCTTACCTTTATTATTAATATCGACATACCAACCGACCGCTGACTACGACTGTCTTCAAACGTAAACTCCGTTGTTATTCCAAAGTACAAACAGTTACATTTCCCCACCACCAATTTACCACATTAAGGTTAATATCTCTGAATGCGGTCTCCATAATGTTTCTTTCTGTCTCCTTGTGCTGACCTAAACATGTATCGCTTTGTGCCTTACCTCGAACCCATCCATCCTTTATGACTGATTACTTTATTGCTACAACACAACTCAACTTATAAATTGTTATAAATCATCACAATCATCTTCACAACCATTAGAAGCATTAAATATTATGCCCTCACCATGATTGTCATTATTAACCATATTCATCATCTTAGTATAGTCATTTTAGTTTTTTAAATCTATTCATGACAGAATTTTAAAAGCTAAAGCAAACTCAGATGCACCTATGGTTTATTGATTTTTCAGTGCTGACCTTCTTTCATTCTTTCCTTCATTTATTTGTTCATTACAAACTTACATAGTTATCAGTTAGGTAATTCATTTATTTAATTAATTTATTTATTTATTCATTCATTCATTCATTCATTCATTCATTCATTCATTCATTCCATTCATGTCCCTGAAAAACTTTTTCCATTGGTCTTTTCATGTTTTTTTGTATTCTAATCTGATCCTAATAAATTTGCCTCCATCAACTCATTCCCCATCTTGCTGCTGTTTAGAATACATTTCCTGAGAATTGCATGTTTGAATATTTACAATGCATCAATAACTCGCATGCAACTTCCATTACCCCCGTTCCTCGTGGGAGTTGATCAACCACTGCTTCGTCATTCTTTCTCATTCACGTTCAGTTTCAAACCAGTCTGCATCTTCTTTTTTGAATTATGCTGAATTGTCAAATGTGACAGGAGGCTAATGAGGTCCATTGAACACTCACAACGACCGAACAGTAAAAGTATTAAATTTTTTTTTTTTTTTTTTGCTTCATTTGTACAGTTCCTGTGCTCGAAGAACATCAAAGTGTTCCTGCTGAAGTGCAGGGAGGTCTTCCAACTGCCGCTGGACTGTCTCTTCCAGGTGGCCGATCTCCTCGACATGAAGGACTTTTCCAGGGTCATCAACACCCTCTCCATCCTCTCCAACTCGCGTCTCGCCGTCGAGAGTGGCATCAAGTCAGTTGGTGGTGGGGGTGGTGGTGATGATGGTAGTTGTGATGATGGTGATGGTGATGATGATGGTGATGATGATGGCGATGAGAGTGATGATGAATGGTGAGATGATAATAGCTAATTACCATCGTTGTCGTAATAGATGTTAGTGTTGGCATGCTGGAGGTTAAAAATGGTGATGAAAGTGATGTGGTCCAGTGGTTTAAGGGATAACATTTTAAAATGTTTTGATTCAACAACTGCTCACTATTATCATGATCATCAGCTTAACTGTGTAACCATCATCATTATCATCCCATTCATATAACCATTATCATCACCACCACCGTATAACCACCATCATCATTACCAATGATACCAATGCTATCCTATCATAATCATCGTTTGATCATTGCATTCATCTAACCATCATTATCTCTGTCACCACATAGCCATCATCATCGTCAATCATCCCTATCATCACCATCATTATCATCATCATCACCACCGCCACATAACCATCATCATCACCACCTCATCACCATCATCATCACCACCACCATCATTATATAATCACTATCAACATCATCATCATTACTACCACCACCACATAACAACCACCACTATCACCACCACCGCCACCATTACCATCATTATCATCATTATCATCATTATCATATAACCACTACCATCACCACCACCACCACCATCAACAGAGGATTCAACACAGAGAGTGATCAAGACTATGGGACGTTGAAGGGGTTTGCCAAGTAAGCACCGAGGTTGATTGTTGTGATTATGATGATGATGGTGGTGATGATGGTGGTGATAATAGTGATGATGGGGGTAGTGATGATAGTGGTGATGATGATGATGATGATGGTGGTCGTCATTTAAATTATGACAATTATTGTTGATGTTAAGGATTCTGTAATTTTTTGTGGCATCAAGTTATGCAAATTTTTTTTTATGCAAGTGGTGTTTGAGATGTTTTAATGAGGCGTGTATGTGCGTGCGTACGTGCGTGTGTGTGCGTGTGTGTGTGTGTTTGTGTTGCATAGTTGCTTAATTGTTTAATTTAATTTGTCAGCACTGAGCATGTGTTTGTGTGTTTATCTGTTTATGTGAGTGTTTTTTTGTTTATACTTGTGTGTTTGTGTGTGTGTGTGTGTCTGTGTGTTTGCTTGTGTCTGTTTGTTTATTGTTTGTGCGTGTATATTTGTATGTGTTTGGATGTTCAATTACTAAAATAGGAAATGTTTGTGTGTGACTGGGCTGCAGATCGATTGATTGAAGAATGGTGATTAGGTGAATGAGTGAATAGAAAGTGGGCGTGCAAATGATTGAATGAATGACTGACTGAATGAATGAATGAGTGAATGAATGAATGAGTGAATGAACGACTGAATGAGTATATGAATGAATCAGAGAAATAAAGTAAATGAATGAAATGATATTAATGATGACGGCAGTTTAAGGATAGAAGATGATGGTCCGTACACAAAATATGATGACAAAATATATCAGGATCTCATATCCATACGTAGGCAGGAGTCAATGATGGTTGGTTGGTGGGTTGTTCGATGGATTGGTTGGTTGGTGGGTGGGTTGGTTGGTGGGTTGTTCGATGGATTGGTTGGTTGGTGGGTGGGTTGGTTGGTGGGTTGTTCGATGGATTGGTTAGTTGGTGGGTTGGTTGGTGGGTGGGTTGGTTGGTGGGTTGTTCGATGGATTGGTTGGTGGGTTGGTGGGTTGGTTGGTTGGCTGGTTGGTTGGCTGGTTGGTTGGCTGGTTGGTTGGTTGGCTGGTTGGTTGGTTGGCTGGTTGGTTAGTTGGCTGGCTGGCTGGTTGGTTGATTGGTTAGTTAACTGGTTGGTTAGTAGGTTAACTATATTACTATTAACCGATGGTTAATGAAATGAGTAAATGAAAGAAGGAATGATTGAATGAATAAGTGTATTAAATGAATAATGATTGAATGAATAAATGAATAATTGAATGAATGATGGAGAAAACACAACTCTAAACAGGATCAAACGATGAAAGTGTCAAAAATGACAAAAAGAGAGTACTGCATCAAAGAGTTGGTGGAGACTGAAGTGAAGTACATTGCTGTCTTGAATGGAATCATCGAGGTTGGTAAGCTGGTTGGTTGGCTGGTTGATTGGTTAGTTGGTTGGTCAGTTTGTTGGTTGGCTAGCTGGTCAGTCACTTTGTTGGTTGATTGGTTTGTTGGTCGGTCAGTTTGTTGATTGGTTGGTTGGATGGTTGGTTGGCTGGTTAGTTAGTTGTTTGTTGTTTGGTTGGTCGGTCAGTTTTTTGGTTGGTCGGTCAGTTTGTTGATTGGTTGGATGGTTGGTTGGTTAGTTAGTTAGTTGTTTGTTGGATGGTTGGTCAGTCAATTTGTTGGTTGGTTGGTTGGTTGGTTGATTGGTTGGTTGGTCAGTCAGTTTGTTGGCTGGTTGGTTGTTCGGTCAGTTTGTTGGTAGGTTGGTTGTTCGGTCAGTTTGTTGGTAGGTTGGTCGGTCGGTCAGTTTGTTGGTTGATTGGTTGGTTGGTTGGTGGGTCAGTTTACTGATTGGTTGTCTTGTTGATTGGTATGGTTAGTTGTTTGTTGGTTGGTTGGTTGATCAGTCACTTAGTTTGTTGGCTGGTTGGTTGGTTGGTCGGTCAGTTTGTTGGTTGGTTGGTTGGCTGGTTGGTGTTAGTTAGTTGTTGGTTGGTTGGTTGGTTGGTTGGTTGGTTGGTTGGTTGGTCGGTCTGTTGGTTAGTAGGTCGGTCAGTTTGTTGGCTGGTTGGTCAGTCAGTTTTTTTGGTTGGCTGGCTGGTTGGTTAGTTGTTTGTTGGTTTGGTTTATTTATAATGTATAATTTCTGGTTGGTTGGTTGATTGGTTATTTGTCTGGTTGGTTGGTTGATTGTACATCATCACTCATCACCCGCACAGCAATTCCAGAAGAAGCTGGTTGGCAAGCTTGATCCGAAAGACAATGCGGCACTCTTCAAAGGGATCGAGGTGGTCGAAGTTCCTAGTTAAAATTTCTTTTATCAACGCAAATTTCAGCCTCCACTAACCATCGAGACAAATTTATTTCAATATCAGAACTGCTTATTTGCAGAAATTTCTCGATTTAAACCTTGAATATAATCCGTAGAGTTCATCATTACCATCATCATCTTCACCATCGTCATCCGCATCATTAGCCTCTTCACCACCAACGATATAATCATAACCACGACTGCGACTACCATCATCTCCATCATCATCATCACCATCATCATCATCAGGACCTCCGACCGGTCCACACGGGCTTTCACAGCGACCTCTCGAAAGCGTGCCACAGCAGGTACGGCAGCAGCAGGACATCCGGTCACATGACCATCCCAGACTGCTTCATCAAGTGGAAGGAACAGTTTCTCAGGTTCGTCATCCGAATTGTTATTGATATTTTCATTATTCTGGTTGTTGTTGTTATTGTTATTGCTGTAGTTTTTATTATTATTATTTTCGTTGTTGTTAAACATATTATATATGTTGGAAAGATACTCGCCTTGATCCACCACTCTTGTTATAACTTACTTCATTCCTCTGTTTCGACCGCCAGTTAAATGTTGCGCCACAGTGCGTGTTGTACGATGTTTTAAAGTTACCTGATGTTACAAGACGGGGCAGTGTGGTTGATAATGTCTGCACCTAATATGAAGTGAAAAGTTCTGTTCTGTTTGTTCTCTTTCAGAAAATTTTAATTGGCAGCGGTTCTGATCACATACTTGAATACACATTTGAATATGAATACATAACATACACATACATACGTCTGTGCGTATTTTTATTGTTTTATGCACACTCACATTACATTGCAGTAAGTTTCATAAATGTTTGCGTTAGAAATAAAAAAGACACTAATACTAAAATTCACCAATCATATTTGTTAACATTAAGGAGCAGTAATGTCTCAAACAGATCATCAGATAAACGATTACGCTGTTTAGTTAGAATAAGAGCACCTGAACTAAATATAGACGTTCAACTGGGGCACTTGAGGGGCAATGCTGTTTTTATATCTGATTAAAAGTTACTTAATTTTAAATGTTGGTCTAAAATTTTTAAATCTTTATCTTTTCTGTTTAGATATTGTAAATGTTCTTGTGATTGTTCTGTGGAAATTTAATTCATCGTTGAAGTTGAAGAACGTTTCTGCTTTTTAAAACTGGTTTTGTTGTACACGATGTAAAAGTAGACATGGACTGTTCTAAAAGTTGCAGGCATTTCGTCCTGAGTTTTGAATTTTCTTTCCACCACATTTTAAAGCGAGGATGAGTCACCGAAGCTAGTAGAAATTCATTATCACCAAGATGAGTGCCTAAACTTTTGTCAATCCTCTGTAATAAGGCACCTTTTAAAGGAACTGTGTGCTTCAGATCCATTGGATTAAGCTTTTTCTTTAAAGTCGTCAATGTAGGCAAAACGTAGCCCGGTGAACAAGTCTTGTCTTTTTTAAGAATAACAAGACTTGCAGCTACTGGAGTCATTATTGATATAAATTTAAAAAAAATTACCTCAGAGTGGAACAGTGGGGGTAAGCCAAGAACCTTGCACGCCTCTGCCATTTTCTCTTCAAAGTTGTATATTAAGAGAGTTGTATAATGAATTCTATCTTGCTACACATGGTATAGAATCAATCAATCAATTAGTTTGTTAAGTGCTATTTTCGTAAGTGATGGAGAAGTAGTCAGAGAAGGAAGTAGAGAGTTCCAGAGAAAAGGGCCAAAAAGCAAGCGCAGATTTAGCAAAAGAGTGTTTAACACGAGTTAAGAAGAAGTGAGAACAAGAAGACGATCGTAAACCGGGCGTTTAGGTTCAATTAGTATATCTGATAAGTACTTAGAAAATAATTTAGATTGAGACTTATACATTAATATGCAAATTTTAAAAATTATTCTCTATTTTATAGACAGCCAGTGCAAGAGAAAAAAATATGGAGATATATGAGATAAGAAAGGGGCACGAACAACCAGACGAGCAGCATAGTTAAAAGCTTTACTTAAAGGATAGAGTGTAGAATCAGGAAGACCATAGTATAGCGAGTTACAATAATAAATCCTAGATAAGACTAACGAAGTAACAAGAAAAAGAGTAGGATCGTCAAGAAAAGGTAAAAGTTTTTTTATTCTACGTAAATGAAAGTAAGAACTTTTAGCAACACTATTAATCTGAGAAGAAAGAGACATACTAGAATCAAAGATAAAGCCAAGATTACAAAACTTGTGAGAAACATCAAGAGTTTTAGAATCAGGTAAGATAATAGGAGGAATAGTAGTAGAGTATATAGGTTTATTAAAACAAATTAATTCAAATTAAGAAGGATTAAGTTTAAGGCACACAGAGTCAGACCAAGCAATTATTGAAGAAAGGCATAGAGATAAATTATGAAGAACACTATTGACGTTTGGTGGAGGAAATGATGTATAAATATAAAAATCATCAGCATATAGTTGACTAGTAAAAAAAAATTATTACAGATTACGATTACAGAGATAAGAAGAAAACCAAGCTAGACAAGAATCAGTTATAGTAAAAGAATCATCTAGCAGCCTCAAGAGAATGGTATGATGTTAGGTGCTGCACTATTTATCTTGTCTTTAGCGCCGATATTCCTTCAGCATGGCTGTCAAGTGATCTAAACCAACATGTTTGCTGCATATCGAGCTTTTCTTTCAGCTTTTTTCTCATATTTTCGAAATTAATTTGCGTAAATTTTCAAGTAAATGCACTTTATTCATATTTGCACATTTCCATGAATTTTATTAATTTGTCATTCTTTCTTGTAGCTTCTTTCGGCAAAATTTTCTACATTTATTCATTTTTAAAGTTGTCAAACTCACTTTTTAAAATTTTGAGAGCAGACACAATGTGTGGAAATTACAAATGTTGCAAATTAATGACTCGTCGTTCCAAAAATTCGAATTATTTACTAGAAAATACATTCAGTCATCCAACCTTCCAATCATTCCATTGTCTAAACTTGATTCAATCAATCCATCGCTCAACTGTTGATCTAAAAACTTAATCTTAATGTTTCAATAACTTAGTTTTATGTTTTTATAATACGCCTTGTGTTATTCAGTTTCTGGTAGATTTAATTCATTTATTTTTTTTATCTACCTACCCACACTCACTCGCACACTTACACACACACACACACACACACACACACACACACACACACACACACACACACACACACAACCACTCACTCAGATACGGGGACTACTGCTCCAACTTGTTGAAAGTTCAGAGCCTGCTGGACAAGCTGCTCAGTCAGTCACCCACCAGAGAAGCCATAACTGTCAGTTGTAGTTGGTCACGGGATATAAATCGAGAGATGATGATGGTGGGGAAGATGATGGCGACGATCATGATGATTGTTGTGGCTGGCCATGATGACAGGCTTCACCTCAAATTCTTTATCGTCATCATCACTGCCATTATTTCCATTTTACACCACTATATTATTATCATTCGTCACAATCTTACACAATACACATCATCATCATCATAATTTCATCATCATCATAATCTTCCTCACATCGTCAAGTTTTTTTGCCCATCATCATGACTTGTGTTTTCTACTCATGTTCATCATAATCATCATCGTAATCATTGCAAACATTATTACAATCATCATCATTCATCTGCTTCTTCTTTATGTATCTTTTTCTTCATCATCGCCATCTTCATCATCACCATCATCGTCATCTTTACCATCACTTCATCGTCATCATCGTCGCGTCATCGTCATCTTAATCACTTCATCGTCAACTACATCGTCATCTTCACTCTCACTTCATCGTCATCTTCACTATCACTTCATCGTCATCATCTTCATCATCGTCATCATCGTCGCGTCATCGTCATCTTCATCGTCATCTTCTTAATCACTTCATCGTCAACTACATTGTCATCTTCACCATCACTTCATCGTCATCATCTTCATCGTCACTTCATCATCGTCGTCGTCGTCATCATCGTCACTTCACCATCACTCCATCTTCATCGTCGTCTTTATCGTCATCTTCATTATCACTTCATCGACAGTTGTGCCAAATGGAAGCTGAACACAACAAGTTTCTGCTGAGGGACTTGTTGGCAGTTCCCATGCAGAGAGTCCTCAAGTACCACATCCTACTCAAGGTGCTGCTCCCAACTGATTAACTGAAGGGTTGATTGATTGATTGATTGCTTGAATGATTGATTGATTGTATGATTGATTGATTAAATGAATAAATGATTGATTGATTGATTGATTGATTGATTGATTGATTGATTGATTGATTGATTGATTGATTGATTGATTGATTGATTGATTGATTGATTGATTGATTGATTGATTGATTGATTGTTTGATTGTTTGATCGATTGGTTGGTTGATTGATTGATTGATTGATAGATTGATTCATTTATTCATTCATTCATTCATTAGTTTGTTTGTTCTATCCACCTTTTGGTTTTGTTTATTCTTCATTAATTAATTCATTTATCCATACATTCATTTATTCATTCATTTATTTACT